GAAAATATTTTAATTTCTTAGTAGGCAATTCACAATCTGTAAAATAAACACAAGATTGTGATCCAGATTAAAGGAATATATTTGGAACAATTCTAGGGAATTAGGCTATATATATTGTAAACTTATTTCCTTACTAAAATATTTTATGAAGTTCTGCTCTGTGTCAAATACACATTGGGAAAAATTAGCATTGTTTACAGATGGCATTAAGGTCATGACAAGTTTGTTTTTATCTAAATAAGACATTTCATAAGTGTGGATATTTAGTTCACAAAATGGCTTTTATATGTAGGAAAATCAAGAGGAAAAAACAAATTCAAAAAATGAAGAAATTAATTTAGAGAAAGAATTACCCTTATCTTCTTGAAACATGGCTGTTCAAAATGGGTATAACATGTCAGCTACTTGAGAGCAGCTGAAACCTTGGACTGGGTTGAATTCCTTGGGAGTTTTCTGATACTGTGAAGAACAGGCTGCTGAATTATATTGGCCCACCAGGCCCACCAAAGCTTTCATTCACTAACTGTATATTTAACTTTTGGACCTAAAAAATTCAGAATCTGGAATGACTTTTATTTTAAAAAAATCATAATTGCAAGTTTGCATATTTTCAAGATTTTGAACTGGAAATCATATTTAAATAGGGTCAATGCTCAAATATTGTGATGATAGTTCTAATTTAGAGTTCCATGTCAGATCTCTGCTATGTACTGAAATAATTATGCAATCCTGTATTGAGCTATATCATTTGCAGCAGCATTGTTGCTTCTCGTTATAATATACTCTGTGCTTTGCAATGATGCTTATGCAAGCGTCCTGGCTCTCAGAAGCTAAGCAGAATCAGGTCTACCATTTACCTATTAATACTTGTTACTACTGGATAAAAGACCTCTATGGTGTATCAGGGATATAGGCTGGATTCAGAGGTCAAAAAACATCTCAGAGGAAGATAATGATAAACTTCTTATATACAGTTGCCAAGAAAATTGCAGTAAGGTATCTAAAATTTACTGGGATTTAGGTTTAGCTCAACCTATTTATTTCAACTAGCTGGGCTGGCTTGAGCTAAATTTTAAATTGATTTTAAATTGGATTGTTTTAATTTACGGCCAAAATATTTAATTATTTTAATACTGTTTTTTAAATTTTGTATGCTCTGTTTTTACTTAGGCTGTGCACCGCCCTGAGTCCTATTTGGAGAAGGGCGGTATATATTTAATTAATAAATAAATAATAAATAATAAAGGAAACTTTTTGTAACCACACCATGTTATATATTATTGTGTCAATTTTTTTAGTTAAAATACATATTTACATAAATGCTGATTGCATTATTCCCTATTGGGATAAGCAACGTTATGGAAAGAGAGTAAAAAAATAGAAAGTCCAAAAATGCAAAGCCATAAGACAGAAAAAGAAAACATAATTAAATCCGGCTTACACCAACAATTCAGCATCTCTCTCTCCATACCTTCTATTCTTGCAAATCATTCTTACCCTGATCATGTCCACGGCCTCTTTCATCATGTGCTTTTGATAGTTTTATTATATTTATGAATCCCAGTGATTCTATGCTGTTTACAAATTGTTAAATCATTAAAAACAAGAAAGCAACAACGTTGAAGAAAGATGGCAGAATGACAAAACCAAAGGAAAACAAAGAATACAATCTAAAGGGGCTCCACTTTCTGTCACCAAGAGGCTGGATAAGGAGCCAGGTCCTTTTAAAAACACCAGAGGATTATTTGAATTTGGGGAGGAATTTTATTCCAGGTGGAGGGCATTGCTGGAGAAAGTGGGTTTCTGGGAGCTAGAGAGATGTCATCATTCAATCAAAGGAATATAGAGCACATAACCCTGCAGTGTCAAATTGGTCAGGCAGATATTGTGGGAGACAGATAGTCCCTCAAGTACCTTTATGGGTAATAGCCAGCACTTTAAATTGCACCCAGAAGCTATAGGAAGTTAGCACCCACCCCTTTCCTAGAAGAATGAAATATTTTGGGAAATATTAAAAAGGCAGAATATTATGTTTCCCTGGAGGAGAAATGGAGAAGCATGTTTTAAAGATGAAGCAGCTCCCATCTTCCTGCCCCCATCCTTTGTCAATGGGCCAGAGGCAGAAACTCAATCTTTGTCAATGGACCATCATCTGCAACACAATAGGACCCATCTAGCAACAGAAACTAACACAATAGGACCCATCTAGCAATAGAAACTCACCACATGGCACCTGGGAAGATTACATCAGCCAGCAAGACTAGCTAAGACCCCCACCCCCTGGGAGTCTGACAACCAATCAGGATACTCTTTCTGGGCCCCAGGAAGTTCAAAGCCAGAGAGGGCATAAAACCTGGGGACTCGCTGCGTCTTGGCTCTTTTCTGTTCAGGAACTCAAACTATGTGATCCTGTCCACCATTAAACCATCTTTCCAAGCAGTCTCCATGTTTCCAGTGTCTTTTTCCTCACTTGGAGCTGAACCCAGAAGGATATTTCTTCCTACAAAGCAAAATGTCAACCAGTGCAGCTTGCATAGCAGAAGTGTTACATGGGGATTCTGAGGCATGTCCATCACTGCCTATGCTAGTTAAAGCATTTGGATGGCCTTCAAGGGCAGTCCAGATAGAGCACCTTGCAGTAGTCAAGTCATTAGATGATTACTTCTCTTTCTTTTTGAGGGTCTCATCAAACCACCTTCATTCAGATCTATTGTCTTTCTCTCATTTTCACAGAGACGTAACACACCACCTATGACCAGCCAGCTCATCCTTGGGCATGAAATACACTCAAACTTTCTGCTGTTGCAAAGATGGGGCCAGGTGATGCTTGTCACCCAGCTCTGGCTGGCCACCTGCCTTCTAACTGCAGAGTGTTTAAAGAGCACTTGCAGACTCTCCTTTCTGACAGTTCAGCAAAGAGTGGCTAGGCAAAGAGACAGAAGGAAGGATAGAGAAAAGGAGAATGTGGCCTGGTCCCTTATCTGTAGAAGTGGAAGTAGAAGTAGAAGAAGTGGACCCAGGAAGAAAGGTGCTACCTCTTTACTTGCCCTCTCCTCTCTCTTCCTTTTTGGGACTGTGATGAAAGCACAGGTGGATGAGAAAATTCAGGGGCTGCTCCTTTACTGTCCTCCCAGAGAAAGCACCAAAGGAGTAGTGCTTTCTCTAGGAGGCACCAAGAGCAAGGAGTAGCACAGCAGGGCTGCGGTCCCTCTCTGCCCTGGGGCCAAGAAAGGAAAGCAAGCGGGGCTCATTGAATAAGCTCCTGCCTTCCCTTGGTTGTGCACTCCCTTTTTTTTTTTTTAGTAATTTTTATTTTTATTTTTTAAGACAAACAAACATTTAATACATCAATCCTCCCTTCCCTGTGACATATCAGTGTTATCTTCTAGGCTTCTTCTCCATCTTCCATAAGTTTCTTCTATCTTCATCTTCATCCAAACCATTCTAACATTTCATTGCTAAATCAATATTGTAATCATCATTTATACATAATTATGGTATCAGTCATTTATATCTCTTTTCCAACCAACTATAAAAATAATTCCATGTTTTAAAATATTCTGATTCCTCCTTATCTTTAATCATCAGAGTTAATCTATTCATTTCTGCACAATCTAAATTTTTTTTGTTACTTCTTCCAAAGGTATTTTCTCTGATTTTCAATTTTGCGCATACACAATTCTTGCAGTGTTATTACATGTATGATCAAATATACATTTTCCTTACTAATTTTTTCTGGAAAGATACCCAGTAGGAACAACTCTGGCTTAAATTCAATACGTTGCTGTATCATTTCTTCCAGCCAGATTTTAATATTGTACCAGTAATTTTTTGCTTCGGGACAAGTCCACCACATATGTCCCCCTCTGCCCTGGGGCCAAGAAAGGAAAGCAAGCGGGACTCATTGAATAAGCTCCTGCCTTCCCTTGGTTGTGCACTCCTTGAAGTAAAAGATGTGACTTCAGGATGAGGTGATTGGCAAATCCCTGGTTTTTCTTTTCCAACCCCAGCAGAAGATAAAGAGACGGCTAGTTGCAACTTCTGTCTGACTACTTCTCCTTAGCCCAATTCATCCCTTTTCCTTCAAAGTCATCAGAATAGAGCTGGAGGGACCTTGGAGGTCTTCTAGTCCCAGCCCCCTGCTCAAGGAGGAGGTCCTGTACCAATTCAGAAAAAGTGACTGCCCAGTCTCTTCTTAAAAACCTCCAGTGATGAAGGCAAACAACTTCATCTCCTTGAAGGCAAAGCTGTTCCACTGGTTAATTGTCCTCACTGTTAGAAAGTTTCTCCTCCATTCCAGGTTGCTTCTCTCCTTGATAAGTTTCCATCCATTGTTTCTCATCCTGCCCTCTGGTACTTTGGAAAATAAATCGAGCCCCTCCTCTTTGTGGCAGCCTCTCAAATACTGGATAAATAAAATAAAGTAAAAATACTGGAAGTTTTTAAGAAGCCGTTGGATAACCATTTGTCTGAAGTGGTGTAGGGTTTCCTGCCTAAGCAGAGGGTTGGACTAGAAGACCTCCAAGGTCCTTTCCAATTTTGTTATTCTATATTCTAATCAAGCGACGTCCCCTAATCCGGGATGAGGGCAACATCAGGGCAGTGGTGAAATCCAATTTTTTTTACTACCGGTTCTGTGGGCGTGGCTTGGTGGGCGTGGCAGGGGAAGGATATTGCAAAATCCCCATTCGCACCCCACTCCAGGGGAAGGATACTGCAAAATCCCCATTCCTTTCCCACTCCTGGGGGAAGGATATTGCAAAATCTCCATTCCAACCCCACTCAGAGGTGGCATTTGTAGGTTCTCCGAACTGCTCAGAATTTCCGCTACCGGTTCTCCAGAACCTGTCAGAACCTGCTGGATTTCACTCCTGCATCAGGGGCAGAGAGACAACCCCCACCCCCCCCCCCCCCCCCCACACGAGATCGGGCGTATCTCGTGGGCTGTTGTTTTCGACGGGGACTGAAAGAGGGCACTGTGCCTTTAAGAGCGCCCGTGGCCAGGTTGTTACCACCGGAGGCTGGGAAGGTGCTGCCGTCGGGGAGAGCCGCTCGCGTCCTTGTGCCCGTTCGGGCGAAACGGGGGCAGGGCAGGGCAGGGCAGGGCCGCGTTCCCGATCGGAAATCAGGAAGAGCCGGGCGAGGAGGCGCGGGATCTGGGATCCTCTCTCCCCTTGGTGGCTCCGAGAAGCAACATGGCGTTTCCCCGGAGCGCTCGGGCTCCTTCTCTGGGCAGGGTTGGAGACTTTCCTCCTCCTCCCAACGGAGTGGCGCCCTAAAAAAGGGGGAAAAAGAAAAAGAAAAAGAAAGAAGCGAAGCCGTTCCAGAGATGTGAAGGAGAGAAAAACGGCTCTCGAAGCTCCGTCGAGCCCAGCAAGTGGATTTTGTTGTTTTGTTGTTTTTGTTTTTCCTCGGGGATTCGGATTCGGATCCGGGCCACCTGTTACTCCGAGGGCAGCCCGAGAGCCTTTTGGCGGCGAGTGGCGCTTTCTCCCGAAACGGCGCTGCTCCCGGTCTCGGAGAAAATGGAGCGCGACGGACTTTCCAGCGCGGATCAGGAGCTGATCCGGGAGAGCTGGCAGAAAGTGGGCGACAGCCCCTTGGAGCACGGCGTCGTCCTGTTCACCAGGTAAGGCAAGCTAGGTCGCCAGACCGGAGGGCGCAGGTGAGAGAGCGCTGGAACGGGAAAAAGGTGTGTGTGTGTGGGGGGGGTGGATTGTGGTCGCCGCTTCAGGTTCGAGGCTGGGCATTTTAAACCTCGGAAGTAGCCCATCATCCTCAGCGAACTTAATTCAAAGCTCCCTCCGGCCGGAAAAGTACCCTCGTGGATTGCCCAGCCTCTGATTGGGGTTAATCCTGTTTGTGACTTTGGTTCCCTTCCCATTTCTCTTCTTTAATGTAACCCCTCCCTCCTCCGGCTCCTAATGCCTTTTCAAGCAACATCTGCTCCCTGTTCAGTGCCCTCCAGATGTGCTGGATTAACAGCTCCTATCATCATCAGTTCTAATAAATGACTCTGCTGGCTGGAGAGGATGAGAATGGAGAGGTAGTGCTCTGGATAAAGGCTGTTTGGGAGCACCGCATGGGGCTTCGGTTGCTGGACAAAGGTTAGAAACCCGGCTGCTCTTCTCATCTCTTAGCTAGCTGGGAGCAGGCTCCCTTTTCTGCTTTCCCCATGTCTTGATTCTTGAGTGTCTTATGTCCTCATTCCAATAACTCTCTATTGCTCTATGGGAAGCTAGCAAAACAAAACAAAAAGTCTGGGGAAAAACAGAAACTGTTCCTCACATCTCCCATGCATTTGTGTGTTTGCTTCCATCGTTTGATTTTAGAGCAAGAGTGCACAGTGGAGAGGACTCTGCCTGGCTAAATTCATATAAATGACAGCGAATCTTCAAGAGTAAGGATTAAGAGAAAGGAGGTAGCTGGTTTTAACCACTTTAGAGCTTTAAGAGAGAAGAGATTCCATTTCCATGCTGTGTTCTTAAACTGAGGAACGTACAAGCACAAGATATAGGGACTCACCAATTTGTCCCAGGTTTAAAAATGCCAATGGTAAATTTATGGAGGATGTGAGGCTCCAGGAGTATGTCCAGCAGGAGAGGTGGACTAAATTTCAATTTCGGTGTCTGGAAACTTGGGTAGGAGGAGAAAACTTGGGTAGGGGGTTGCATAAAAGACGCGGATGATTTGTGAACTTCTGCTGGCATCTGTGATGAAAATGGATCCCTTCACCAGATAGGCCTTTGGGGTCATCCAGCGGAGCATTTTTTAAAATCTTGGTATGTCAATTGAAGAGATTCTAATACTATAGTCCTTGCATCATTTGTAAAGAATAGTACTTTTGTTCTGGGACTGATTAAGTGTAATAACTAATAGCATTTTAAGCCCTCCTTTTTCCTTGAGTAAATAGCCTTACCAGAGACCTAAAAAGTAATGGAGCTCAGATATTTATTGGAAAAGGTGTTGGTCTCTGATAAGAAGATTCAGTGATTAAATTTGCCCTCCGTCATGGGAGCTAATTTTGTGATTTTGAGCCAGTCGCTGTCCAGCCTACCTCACAGGGATATTGTTGTTGCGGTGATGGAATAAGGGAGGATGGAGTGATAGTTGTACCACTTTTGTTCCTAGAGGAAAGGCAGGAAATAAATGAACAAGTGAATTGTGCAAAACATCAGTTTTAGATTTTCTTTTTTGTGAATCAATATAAAGATATGTTTTAAAAAAATGGGTTTTGTTTATGAAAACCCATGTGTCACTGTATGTGTATGTACAAAAGATTGTGGAGTATTTCTATTGATTCTTTAATGGATCATTACTGGCATAGAGATTCTTGGAATGTTCCCTAAAAAGAATAGAAGCTTCAGAATAAAACCTTCCCTACCACTGAAAAAATACGAAACTCACACCCACTACAGGGTTATCCTGTCCAAAACAGTTCCTTTAATAAGCAGGCAGAAGAGAAAGAACTGCTGAAATATGAAATCCGTGCTGAAGGTGAAGAAGCAGTGCACTGGAGACTAAATTTGAGAAGTTTGATACACTCATGAGGCATTGCTCAATGTCAAATCCTAAAAAATAGAGGAAAAAATTAGCATATAAAAATGCAACGTACTAATGAACAAGCCAGGAAGTCTTTCTGTAATTCACTCTTCTTCCTGAAACTCTAATTGCATTTTGCAATTTTAGGAGGGACACTGTTGCCAAAACAGATAACTATCTATAATCAAAACAACCAACTTAATCACAAGAAATAGGATTCTTCCGGACTTTGGAAATGAGTTCTAAAAACCATTTCCTGGCCTTGCTCATAGAAATGCATTCGAATTTAAAGATTTGCAATATACCTTTTAGATGGCAGTCACGTAATTGTTATGTACAGAATTGTTATCAACTATTTAAGTCTGTGTTTTTTGAATACTGGGAGAGGGATCTAATAGTGATTGGGCAAACAGCAGTACAACATGTTTTGACAGTATTAGGTATCTTGGAAGTATTCACTGAATCTCATTATCATAAGAAAAATGTATGTGAAAAAAGGATTTAAAATTCTACAATTTATAGGGTTAGGTACTTTGATAAGAAATCTGTTTTGGCTGAGTAGGTTCTACAGAAGAACTGGCAGTGTCCAGCTTGATTTTAAGTAATTATAATTGTATCATTGTATCTCTCAATAGCACAATAATTCTCTACTGCAGTTTTATTGTCAGTTTTCCTTAGGACATATAAATTGTATGATATGAGACATTAGTTCAGTTTTGTTATTTTGTTATGAATTTGCTAATTTACTATAGAAAACATTGGAAAAATAAATATATGTATTTATTTATTTAGCCATGATGGCGAACCTATGGCACATGTGCCAGAGGTGGCACGCAGTTTCTTCTCTGATGGGACGCGAGCCGTCACCCCAGTTCAGCTCTGCTGCGCATGCACGCGCCCCTCCCACCAGCCAGCTGGTTTTCGGGGCTCTGCCATGCATGCGCTGGGGTGGGGCATGTGCGGGGGGCCATGTGCGCATGCATGGGAGCACGTGCGTGTGTGGGGGAGTGCGTGCATGCGTGGGGGAATGCGTGCATGCGTGGGGGAGGGGCGCATGTAGGGGGCCACACGTGCATGCATGGGGGGGCACATGCACAGGGGCTGGGTGTGCATTGCATTTTGGGGGTTCAGGCGTGTGCACACTTTGGGCACTCGGTCCAGAAAAGGTTAGCCATTACTGACCTAGAGAAATAGCATAGGATAAAAACAGCAGAGTCTTAAATAAACTTTTAATTAGATTTTTGTTTATATTTTTGTTATATCAGAGAAGTAATTTGTAATAAATTAACCTCTTGGAAAGCACATTTTTCGATCGAAATATTGGATAGAAATGTTTTAATGTTTTGTGTCATTGCTCAGGTATTATGATCTTTAAATGATAAGGACTTTTTTGTGCTTTTGTGTGACCTGTTTTTTAATCCTTTTGTTTCCTTTGCTTTCACATTTGTTATTGCTGTTACATTTGTTTCTTTTTTAAAGGCAAAATATATCGGGAACTAACCAAAAAAACTGCATCAAAAGGCAATCAATATATTTCCAAGGCATGGGAGGGTGGTTGTTGCTTCAATATTGTGTGTGTGTGTATTACCCAAGCCAGAACTTGATTTCTTATAATCTAAAAATGGGCAAAATGTGTGCACATTTCATGTAAATGGTAATGCTGATGAATTATGAAGTATCTAAAAGAATGAATCTACCCTACTTATCAGTGATATAAAAGCTGATGGAAATTAGTTTAAATTATAAATGATTTAAAAACACAATCAATTTAAACTACGCTGAGAATATATTGTAAAGCTTGAAATATTCAAAATAATTAAACGACTCCACTTATTAGTGCTGTAAGAGCTGATGGAGACAGCTATGAAAAATACAAGTGAATTCTTTCATACCTAAACATGATAAAGCTGTTAAAAAGTTTCTTTTAAAAGGCAAAACTGGAGTTGCATTGATACACATTCTATAGAGAGTACAATATACAGATGATCTTAAAGCTTTAACTTGCAAAATATCATTAAAAGTGACAAATATAATCCAGTGAGTATGAAATTATACAACCAATCTTTGCATTCCAAGGTAGTTAAATTCTAGTTTTAAAAAATCCTTACAAAAAACCTCAATCTGGAAAAGAAATCCAAATTACCGGTAAACCAATTTCTATTATCTCCTGGCACCTGAAGCAGCTTAGCAGACTGTCTTCTCTATCATGATTTGTTATTTTTCACATTTCTACCATCTGAATGGTTAGAATTTGGTTTTGTTCATCAGCACTGTAAGGAAATTCTTTAAAGGGTGAAATGCTGCTTCATAGCCAACGTTTTTAACTGGCAATACATCTGGGGTTAATGGAAATATATTTTCCACTTAATGTTTCAAATGTGCATCAAATGCATAAATCAGCCCACACATCCTGGAAACCATGGGCAATAACCATGAATATCAAAATATATAGCACATTTACATATGGATTTCATATTGGTGGAAGCATTTTTCTAGCAAGGCAATTATATATAATTAAGTGACTTTTTCAGTTTCTAATCTTAAAGGATGGGGACTGATTTTTGCTAGAAACATCTGTTGTCTTAAATATTGATAAAAGTATATGTCTTTTTGTGTAATTTATGGAAAAAAGTGAAAGACAAAAACATTTTATAATAAGGGTACAGAAATCTAGGATTAATATAAATTGATCAGGGTCATACAGAAAAGCCATTTTATTTCTCTCAGATGCTCCAAGGTTTAGATTAAGTTAGGTTTTAGAAGAGGAACTTGTTTTTAATTTCCCAGAGTATTTATGGAGCCTATAAAATATCAAAATGCTCTTGATTGTATTCGGAATGTCTCTTTTGTAGCACTAAATATTACAGCTAATTCATAGAAAGCTTAGGTGTTAAGGCATATTGGACAGAGAAGGAGGGATTTTAAACAATATTTTATCTTTTAAGTGATAACAGCATGTGCTTTTGAGTAAACATCCATAAAAAGAAAACTTTATAGATCTGATGAAATTCAATATCAACAGCCAGCAAGACAAATATGCATGGAATATGTTTCTATAAGCTCTACTTTGTATTTTGGATTTTTCTT